CTTAGCATACATGGTGATCAAGCTGTTGCAAACATTATGCTTTGATAAAAAGCCAGTCTTTATGCAAAACCCATGAATCATTTCGCCTTCCTCCACCAACTTCCTAATTGATATAGCAGGGATTAGTCCAACAAATTTAACATCATTTGGATATACTCCATCCAATCTCATCTCATTAAATAGAGAGATGGCATCTTCTTCGTCTATTGAAATCATAGTTGTCAAAGACACTACGTTGCGATCATCATGCACTGAAAGACTAATTTTGCATCTTCAGTAACCTCACACTTTGAATATGTCAAGATCAATACATTACAAACTGAAACATGACTTCCATATCCTGATTTAGTTGTCAAGCCATGTATCTGTTTCCCCAGTTCTAAATTCATTTCATGTCCACAAGCTGAAACTGCACTAGTAAATGAGACATGACCTAACCCCATCCCTTCTCCCACCATCTCAATAAAGACAATAATCGCCTCAAGGCCATGATTTCCTTCTTGAGAGTAACCTGATAGTATTGCATTCCATGAAACCAGATCCTCATTTGCCATTTCATCAAACACACTCCTAGCTTCTATTAACCGCCTCAACCTCGAATACATACTTATAAGTGCATTTCCAACAAAAACGTCACCATCTAAACCAGACTTAAATATAAGAGAATGCAGTTGTAATCCAAATAGAAAATCTTCATGATCCGCACAAAAAGCAAGAATCGTAGTATAAGTCACTGGATAAAAAACAACTCCATTAAAATTCATCCTATAGCAAAATTCACGCACCTTCACTTGTTCGAAACCCCGAAAGAATAGTATTCCAAGAAACTATATCATGTATAGCACATAGTCTCAAAGATAAGTAAGGGACCATCAAACTGTCCAGCTTTGGTGTACATACTCATCAAAGAAATTGAAATCGTAGCATACGAAGCAAACCCAGAAGAAACTGCAAACCCGTGAATTTGGCCTCCGGGTTTGGGGTCCCCTTGACAGCAAGGGTAACGGTAACTTCATCGATGTTATAAGACAAAGGTAGTTGAAGTTGCTTACAGAACATGCCAAGGGCTCTAAGGGTAACGGTAACTTCATCGAGTTCGTTTCTCTGTCTCTTCATCTCACTAGCGCACCACATTCCTCTGCGAGTGCAAGCTTCGTCTGTCTTCATTTGGAACAAAAAGGAGGCGGCCAGACCCGCCCAGGCCGCCTAGGCGCCGCCTAGATCCACCCTAGCAGTCTAGAACCGCCCAGGCCGCCTAGTACCGCCCAGGCAGCCTTGGCGCAGCCTATAACCGCCCAGGCCGCCTAGGCGCCGCCTAGAACCGCCCAGGCCGCCCAGGCGCCGCCCAGAACCCCCCAGGCCGCCCATGCGCCGCCCCGGACCGATCAG